TCCCCAGCCCCTTGGTTTAGATTTTAAAAGATTACTTTTTGTGATCTGAAATTAGTTTAATTATAAAAATAATGGTTGCATTTGATGGAGAGATGAAGGAAGGGGTGGAGGGGGTGGAGGGAGGGATTGAGGAAAAGAGAATGAATATGATTTGAGAGTGGGACCCGCAAATTACAACAAACAGTGCTTTTCCGCCAACAGTGCTTTCCCGCCTAGCCCGGCTCCCCTGCTCCTGCGCCCAGAGGGCTTAAATGTCCAGAGTGTTGCTTTTCAAAGGAAGGTTTCAAGTGGAAATTTTAGAAAAAATTGCAATTGCTTAGAAAATACTCATAAGCAGACAATTCAGCACTATTCTTACTGCTTCCTAGATTTCTGAACCAGATGAGTTTGATGTCATGTTTACGCTGAACATCCCCAGAATTGAGCTACAGGAGTATGCTGCCAGCGGGGCCTATTACTCTGTGAAATTCAAAAGAAATCCCAAAGAAAATCCTCTGGATAAATTTGTAGAAGAAGGATTTCTATCAGCTGCTAAGGTGTTGTCAAGGTTTAGAGAAATCATTAAGGCAGAGATTAATTCATCGACACCAGCTGAAGGTAAGATTTTTGACTTGTGATCCTTAGACTTCTAATGCTGCCTACCCAGGGCCAGGGTACATGCCCGCTGTTCCACACCTCTCCTGGCCTCCTGCCGCCGGCTGCTGGGTGCCCTGTCCTGCTAGCTGCCGCCGCCTCGCTCTTGACTTCACTGTTGTTTCTCTTTGGTGTTCTTCTTAACCCTTGGCTGGCGCTAGTGTGGTTTTTCCTTGGAACAGTTCCTGGACTGCTCCACAGTGCTGGGTACATGAGCCTTGATGAGATGGGGCTGGGGGAGATCCCTGACTGAAGCTTGCAGTCTAGTGGGGGCCTAGTGTGTCAGCAACGTAAGATACCGAGCTGCAGGGGATGCTCTGAGGGAGTGAACTGGGGAAAGTGCCAACAACTGGGGACTAGCTAGCTAGGGAAAGAACAAAGAGGAAGTGGAAAATTGGATTCATGTGGAAAGGAGGGAGGCGGAGGGCAAGGGAAGGGTGGCCAGCCTGAACTGCACAGTGCAACCCTGTCTCAGACCACAGAATAAACCCCCCCAAAACTGGATGATTAATCATTTCATTCAGCCTCCTCTTGAGTACCCAAGAGAGTCTGTGTACTCCCAGCTGATTCCTTTTGTTTGTTTTGGGTATGGGGGATCAAACTCAGGACCTAGCACTTGCCAGGCAGGCATCTAAGCCACTGAGCTGTCTCCCCAGCCCTCCCAGCTGGTTCTTTTTTTTTTTTTTTTTTTTTGTATTTAGGACAGAGTGTACAGGGTCTCACTGTGTAGAGCAGACTTGTAGTGATCTGCTTGTTTACAGCTTCCCAAGAGCTGGGGTTACAGGCCTGTACCACCACACCCAGTCTCAATTGCCATCTCAGTGTGCCCTGGGGGTGGGACCGGCACACCAGGTTTGGGGATCGAACCCTCGGCTCCTGTGCCTGCTTGCAGGTGCTTTAAATCCACTGAGCTATTTGGCTGGCTCCTCCCAGCTGATTCTTAATGCTTAATACCTTTTTTTTCTCGGTACTGGGAAGCACACTCAGGACCTCGAGCTTGCCAGGCAAACACTGCACCACTGCACCCCAGCCCTTAATGCTGATTCTTTTTTTTTTTTTTTTTGCGGTACCAGGGTTTGAACTTGGGACCTTGCACTTGCCAGGCAGGTGTTTATGCCACTGAGCTCCCACCCCAGCCCTGAATGCTGATTCTTAAGCATGTGTCCAGGTGGTAGAATTAGGGTTCCCTTCCATGAGTTCCCAGTGTCTCTTTTTTCCCTTTCTCTGGACTGGGAATGACTGTGCCTGGGCCCTTCTCCTGCATTTTCTACTTTGCACTCAGTGAGGTTCCTCCCGCTGTCCCCTCCTGCCCCCAAAGCCCCCTGGAGGCCTGAGCCCTGCAGCCACCTGTCCGGGGACCATCTGCGCTTGGGCCCACGGAGCTCATGGCGACCACAGTACAGTCTTGTGCAGCCCAGTCATTCCTGCTTTTTCTGTTTAGGGGAATAGAATCAACATCAGCTATTTCTCAGAGCCCAAGCCTTGTGGTCATCAGAGCCCATCCTTTTATTGCAGTCAGTGCCCCGGTTGTAATCAGTGAATGCTGGTTAAATGAGGAAACCTTCTGCCTAGTGGGGCCAGTTTCTGTTTTGGAGCTAATTTTGGTACAGGGTCTCACTGTGCAGCTCGGACTCGTAGTGATCCTCCTGTTTTCAGCCTCTCCAGCACTGGGATCACAGGCGTATGCCACCAGACGGGGTATCAGTGGCTGCCTCAGTGCGCCTGGGGGTGGGCCAGCACAGCCTGTGGTGCTGCGGGTTGAACGCCGGTCCCTGCGCTTGCCTAAGCAGGTGCTTAGTCCACTCAGCTATCTCACCAGCCCTAATAATTCACTTTCTACATACCATTTCATAGATCTTCGCTTTGGCCCATCTAAACAGATACAGCAATTGTCGTGCAAAAGAAGAGACCCGGGAGCCCTGCCGTAACACTTCTCATCAAAGGACCTAAGGAAATATCTGTGGATATAACCCTTGCTCTGGAATCAAAGAGTAGCTGGCCTCCGAAGACCATGGAAGGCCTGCCCATCGAAAAGTGGCTTGGAAGAAAAGTCCGGACTAATCTAAGACAAGAGCCATTTTACCTTATACCCAAGCAGGCAAAAGACGGGCGGCATTTCCGAGGTATTTTGAGCGTGAAGACACAGAAGTTTTGTTGGTGTTACATTCTGGGGCGGTAGATCAGCAGCCTGCTAATGCTGCTGGCAATTTGAAACCTACCAGGCTAAATAGGCTGCAGGATGAGAGTTTGGTGAGAGATAGAATTGATTTTTTTTTTGGACAAGGTCTTAATATGTAGCCCAGGCTGGGCTCAAACTCACGGTGATCCTCCTGCCTCAGCCTCCCCAGTGCTGGAACTACAGGCGTGTGCCTGTAGATGAAATTAAAAAGCACATAGTTATAGTACAAGATACTTCCATCTAAAATTAATTTATTTATTTTTCATTTATGTATTTGGGACAGAGTCTTACTGCAAAGCTCTGACTGTTTTCAGCCTCCCCAGCACTGGGATTACATGCCTGGTGAGGCGGCTGGCCCCATGTGGGACCGGGGATGGAACCCTGGTCCCCTGGTCCCTGCACTTGCCAAGGCAGGTGCTTAATCTGCTGAGCTATCTTGCTGGCCCTTTATTTATTTTTTTGAAGAAAGGCAGTACTGGCCTTGGAGTCGGACTGCTCCAGTTCTGAGTCTGGAGACATCTACTCTGAGCAGCAGTGTGAGCTGGATCCGGATACAAGTCCTCGTGGCACCTGTTCGCACATCTGTATGCTGGGCTGATCCATGCCACTTGGGCAGATAGCAATGAGCCAGTGCCCGTGGGGTCTTGGCGCGCCTCAGCCCACGGCGTGCACTGCTCGGGCGAGGCTGTCCGCAGCGCCTCGCTGCTAGTCTTCCTGCCTTTGCTTCCCACCTCCCAGCAGTCAGGGAGCTCTCCTGCCTCGGTGGCCCGTGCTGAAGCTGCCCTCGCCAGGTCCTGGCCTCCCCATCGGGGCGGGCTTCAGGCCGTGCTGTGGTGATATTTTCTTTCTCAGGTGGCAGGAGACAAAATAGCTGATGATGATTATTATTTTTTTGCGGTACCGGTGGTTGAACTCAGGCCCTTGCGCTTGCCAGGCAAGTGCTTATTCTACTGCGCTATCTCCCCAGTCCATGATTTCGTTTTCTCTTATAAACTTAACAAACCAAATTATAAATGAGTATCACCAGAAGAGGTCCAGAAGCAATCATTTTTTGTGTGATGACTTGTATGTTTGTGGACACAGGTCTAAACTTTTTAAAAATTCATTTATTTATTATTTGTTACAGGGTCAAGTTACCCAGTTCAGACTCATAATGATCTTCCCGTCTCAGCCTCCGTAGCACTGGGAGTACAGGCGTGTGCTGTCACGCCTGGTTTTGAGGCTGGGGCAGCAAACCTGTTTCTGGGGCCACCACAGCATCCGGTGGTGGGGATTGAACTTGGGTCCTTGTGCCTGCCAGGCAGGCGCTTAGACCACTGAACTATCTCCCCAGTCCCTGGTTTGTTTTTTAAGACAAATCAGTATGCCAGGCTTGGTGGTGCATGCCTGTAACCCCAGCACTTGGGGGCTGACACAGGAGGATTGCTGCAAGTTTGAGGCCAGCATGGGCTAGATAGTGAGTTCAGGATCAGCTTGAACTACATAACAAGACCCTGACTCAAAAACAAAACAAAACAATTATTACTCCAAATCATTACGCAGTGCAGACTATACAGGAAGTAAGTCACCACGTAGCCCAGGTTGGCCCCAAACGTTCAGTGATCCTCCTGTCTCCCAAGTGCTAGGATTCTAGGCGGGCACCACCATGCCCACACATGACCTTTCACATTGCATAAATATGAAAGTAATTTTGTATAAGAAAATAGTTTAGAGCCAGGGAGATGGCTCAGTAGAATAAGCGCTTGCCTGGCAAGCGCAAGGGCTTGAGTTCAATCCCCGGTTCTGAAAAAAAAAAAAAAAAAAAAAAGAAAGAAAAAGAAAGAAAAGAAAATAGTTTATAAGGAATTGCACAGTATTCATGGCTGCACACACGGACAGGTGCTGCGCCACTGAGCTGGACCCCAGCTCCTCGGTTTTGCAGACAGAACCAGAACGCGGCTTTCTGTAAAGAGCAGCTGCCCCAAGAAGCTCTCCTTGTATGCGGTAACAGAAGTCTCAGCAGGACCCCGGTCCCTCCGGCCCTCTGCTGCCTTCAGCAATGGAAGCTGCTGCAGTGGGCAGAGGAGGAGGCATCCTCTGTGGCCCCGGAGGCCGCATGGGGGCCGCTCCTCACATTTTTCATTGAGATCACAGGTGATGGGCGTCCGGCTCCAGCTCTGCTCTCTGATATACTGGGCTGTTCTGCATCTTGTTGTTATAAACTGCCTGCCTTTAGTCATACCCCACTCTCTGATCTCTAAACGAGATAATGTGGCTGTCACTCCATAGCCTAATGTAGAAATGAGCCTTTCTTTAGTTTTTCTGTTATCCTTGGTGGTAGGGAACAAATGCAGGGCTTGAATTGAGAGATGAACACATACTAAGCCTGTGCCCTAACATTGAGCATCCTAGCCAACATCTGTTCCTCTTTCTTTTTTTTTTTTTGGGGGGGGGAATCGGGGATTGAACTCAGGCCCTTGCGCTTGCCGAGGAAGCACTTATTCCACTGAGCCATCTCCCCAGTCCCCCTGTTGCTCTTTCAAGTCAGTTTTTGTCACTGGTCAAAAAGTAAATCCAAGGGCTGGAAAATAGCTCAGTGGCACAGTGCCTGCCTGGCAAGTACAAGGTCCTGAGTTCGATTCCTGGTACAAAAAAAAAAAAAGGTAAAGTTTTGCTAGACGCTGCCCAAATTCCCTCCATAGACATTGTCCCAAGTTGAATTTCACAGAGTATCAGAGTACATTTCACTCTCTGCCTTAGCAGTAGGCCCTGGGCTGAGGGTTGGAGACTGGGGAGACCTAGCTTTCTTGTGCTCGAGGTGGGACCCAGGGCTTCAGATCGCTAGGCAGGTGTTCTACCACTGAGCTACATCCTCGGGCCTCAGTTTACGTCAGTGGGAAACTTGTGAGTTGGGATTTTTGTGAATAACCAATAGAGGGAGAAGTGCTATCTCAGGGTGATTAAAAAAAAAAAAAAACTTTGGGGGCCTGCCCATTAGCTCAGTTGTTTAAGTGCCTGCTTAAGCGAAGGCAGTCAGGCTCAGGATACTGTGGTTCGATCCCCAGATCCTCATACCTTACCAGACCTGCCCTTAAGGCATCCTGAGCCAGCTAAAAAAAAAAAAGAAAAAGGAAAAAAACTTTTAATTTTGAAGTTAAATACTTCAAATACTTACACTGTCCCGGGGACACTTATATCTTGACTTTTCTCTTTCCAAACATTTTACTAGGAATATTACAAATTGGGCTGGGGAGATAGCTCAGCAGTCTAAGGGCCTGCCTGGCAAGCCCAAGGACCAGAGTTTAATCCCAGGTACTGCATGCTGTGCTGGGCCCTGCACTGTGCCAGCCCTGAAGCCAGGCGTGGTGGCACATGCCCGTAATCCCAGCACTGGGGAAGCTGAGACAGGAGACTACAAGTCTTCTGAACTGTGTAGCAAGACTCTAATAAAAAGAAATATCACAAA